GAAGAAATTTACGACCTTCAGAAGTCAATTGAGGGACCTGTGTATGGCTTTATTTTCCTTTTTAAATGGATTGAAGAAAGACGAGCCCGACGAAAAATCCAGCCATCCTCAAGTGAGGTTCCTGTTGAAGATGATGGAATCGTTAACAACATGTTCTTTGCTCAACAGGTAGTTTTATTCTATTCTATTTTTTATGTGTTTTTATAAATTTATTCAGACAAATATTCAGTAGATTTTCTGTAATTTTCTCCTCAAAATACAAGGGACAAAAGTCTTCAAAAAACTGTACGTTTTAATAACACTGAAAAAGCCTATGGACTAGTTCCTGTCTCTTATACACATCTAGATGTGTATAAGAGACAGATCTAATTCGGTACAAACTTGTTACCTTGTTAATAATCTCGTAGTTAACTCGGTGCTCTGCTCGGCATAATTCCTACATAACTCGTAACCAACTCCATAAAGTCGTACCTCACTCGTAGCTAACACGTAATAAGCTCATATAGGTCCTTTCCAAAGATCACAAGTTTTGACTCGTAGAAATCGTACGACTCTTAGCTGAAATAAACCTAGGTGGGAGAGGGGCTTTAGATCTCTTTCATCTTCACCGACTAACACTATCATCAACCCAAAATAAGGCTCCAATTTTAACATTAAATATATTTACTCCAAGGTTACTGTTTGTTATCAGTTTTTGTAATTGATTGATGAAAATTGAAAACAAAATAGGTATTAACAGTGAACAGCCCTGTTTGACTCCTTCGTCGATATTGAAGAATTCAGTTTCTATATCTTGAAAAATAACTTTACCTTTAAGTAACTTTAAATTCTTAAATAATTTTGAGTAAATTTCCTTTAAACCCCAATATTACTAACAGCTGAGAATAACCCTTCTCTCCAAACAGTGTCAAATGCTTTTGACACTAAAAATGCAAGAAATGTTTTTTTGCCTTCTGATTGTCGTGTGCTAATGATACTTTTAAGTTTAAAATGCTCTTCTATCCTCTCTAAAACCGCCTTGAACTTCACAAAATGTTCACAAAACTCTTCTAAGAAATCTGACACTGTTTGGGAGATAATGTGGTTGTAAACATTAGCGACACATGAGTTAGGTGTAGTATTACAGTAGAACCTTGTTTTTACGTACCCCAGTTATACGAATCCTCAGTTTTACGTACGCCTCATATCGGCGATGACGTCATCAAAACCCCCGAAAATATTCAAAGCAAATGGCCCTTTTCAGAGCCGCCATAAGTAAAAAGAGATTTGATACTTTCTGTCTGCTTGTTGTTTTAATACTATAACAGTAAACAAACCATATGCAAAGTATTTTCATTAAACAGCAAAGTTCATTGAGTCTAACACCAGGCTGTTATTTTATAATCTAAAACCATGTGAACTGATCGAGAGGAACAACTACCGATGGTCCTCAAAATAATTGCTTTCCTCCTTAGCTTCGTGTGAAAGAATCATCTGGTCAAATTTTCTACACAAAGCTGAGTAGGCATAATTTCGTACACTAACGCTAATTGGCTAGCTCGCCCAGAGCAGTGCACATGCTTCTTGTTTCACGTACTGTACACGAACATTAATTGGTTGGCTTGTCCAGTGCAGTGCACCTCATTCTGGGTTGTCTCAGCAGGCCCAGACAACACTGCAGCGCTGTTGTATATAATAGGCATGAAGGGGAATTCCCAAGTTACCTTTGTCATATATATAGGTAATCTTGCAATATTTTCATGTTCTTTAGTTAAATAAAAGATATAAAGTGATAAATTAATACACTAGACACATTGTTTTATTTGAACACTTTATGTCATTGTAAATTGATGAATAGAAACACTAAACACATGGTTTTATTCGTAGGCTCTGAGGCTAGGTCTAGCCTAGGTAACAGGCTAGAGGTAACAGGCTAGATTTTTTAGTGTTACGTACGTATTAGGTCAAAGATCACCACAAATTTAACCCAACCTCAATTTTGCGAATCCGCCGATTTATGTACGTCCGCCGGTCCCGTACCTAAGTAAAATCAAGGTTTTACTGTGTGCGAAACAAGGAATAAACAAAGTCTCTTCCAAGTATAAAAGTATTGATTATACTTAAGTGCTTTTATGCTTAAGTACTTTGTATACCTAACTGTTGATTAAGTAGGAGACTTACATTGTTTAATATTACATCTAATATTACAGAGATTGCACTTAAGTCAGCTAAAAATGCCATCAAAGAAGACTGGAAACCATCCTTTCTTTCTGACGACGAATTCAGTCAGTTGATGCTGGAAGCACTCGATGGTTTTATGATTGTGTTTAATCCTGAAGGACGAATACTATACGCCTCTGACAGCGTAACATCCTTGTTGCGTCACCTGCCAGTAAGTCAGTTATTTTTTAAGTGATTGACAATAACATTGTTCTGCTTTATCTTTAATTTGAATTTATGCTTCTTGTATAGCAGCATATGACTCAGACACAGCAAGTAAGTAACATGTAAAATAAATGTAACACACACAATCAAAGCACTAATTATCACATACGGTATATTGTAATGGTAATAAGTGTAATGGTTAGGGACTTTTATAGCGCATAATACGTAGTCTCTTTGGCTGGGTTCCAGTTCTTAATTTTGTCTTAATCATTGAAAACTATTAAAAATATATCTATGTTGACACCAATGGCGTTCCATATTACTTATTTGCTTGGCGTTCCATACTGTACTGTTTCTGAGATTCGCATCCAAATTCAACAACATAACAAGTTTCTCAACATAAATTAATGCTGTTGGTGCTCTCCGAAATTAGCTAATACTAGGAAAAATAATACAATAAATTAGAGACTTGTGGCAAGTCTAGAGGTCTCTATGTGCTGTACAGAAAGAGACTTGTGGCAAGTCTAGAGGTCTCTATATGCTGCACAGAAAGAGACTTGTGGCAAGTCTAGAGGTCTCTATGTGCTGTACAGAGAAAGAGACTTGTGGCAAGTCTAGAGGTCTCTATGTGCTGTACAGAGAAAGAGACTTGTGGCAAGTCTAGAGGTCTCTATGTGCTGCACAGAAAGAGACTTGTGGCAAGTCTAGAGGTCTGTATGTGCTGTACAGAAAGAGACTTGTGGCAAGTCTAGAGGTCTGTATGTGCTGCACAGAAAGAGACTTGTGGCAAGTCTAGAGGTCTCTATGTGCTGTACAGAGAAAGAGACTTGTGGCAAGTCTAGAGGTCTCTATGTGCTGCACAGAAAGAGACTTGTGGCAAGTCTAGAGGTCTCTATGTGCCTCACAGAAAGAGACTTGTGGCAAGTCTAGAGGTCTCTATGTGCTGTACAGAAAGAAACTTGTGGCAATTCTAGAGGTCTGTATGTGCTGTACAGAGAAAGAGACTTGTGGCAAGTCTAGAGGTCTCTATGTGCTGTACAGAAAGAGACTTGTGGCAAGTCTAGAGGTCTCTATGTGCTGCACAGAAAGAGACTTGTGGCAAGTCTAGAGGTCTCAATGTGCTGCACAGAAAGAGACTTGTGGCAAGTCTAGAGGTCTCTATGTGCTGCACAGAAAGAGACTTGTGGCAAGTCTAGAGATCTCTATGTGCTGTACAGAAAGAAACTTGTGGCAAGTCTAGAGGTCTCTATGTGCTGTACAGAGAATGAGACTTGTGGCAAGTCTAGAGGTCTCTATGTGCTGTACAGAAAGCAAAAAAGCAAAATCTATTCTAGTAGGTCAACTATAAAGCTAACCATTGTTTTATTTAAAAATAATATGATAGATAATTTAATAGATCTTACCAATTTTTATAATGTTAAATTTTTAATTGTCTAAACCATTTATTTTTAAACTCTAGAAAGATCTAGAAAACAGAACCATCTATGAGCTAGTGCATGAAGACAGCCGGCCTGATATTTTCAAAATATTATCATTGGCATACGACAAAGCAGAGGAACCAGTGGTCCTTAACAAAGCGCACACATTTGACTGTTATATGCAACGTGGCTCAATGGATGTGAATAAGGAACCAAGTTACGACAAAGTTAATGTTAGTGGCAGTTTTCAGAAGCTCAACAGTAGGTCTGAAGGTAAGATCAGTTCAATTGTATCTTGTGCGTGATATTGGTGTATTTAGTTGGTAGCATATACAGGGATGGTGTATCCAGGGGTGGTATATCCGTGGTGGTATACAGGCCCGTATCCAGCTTTTTGAATGGGGAGGGGGTGCATTTTGCGAGCGCAGCAAGCAACCAGGCTGGGGGACAGGGGGCCGCCCAGGGCTCCCGGTCGGGGGCCCTGGGCAAAAAAATTTTGCTTTCTTACATCCTAGTAGACTAATTTGAAGGCATTTTATCATGTTAACCTCTATTTGTCCGTGAACACAGCGATAGGGCCTATCAAAAATTTACCAGTGGAGGACATGGAGAAACAAGCAAATTGTTTCCCAAATGAAAAATACTACTGGATAAATTCGTAACCATTACGGATAAAAATTCAAAATCAATTCTGCTTTTAAGTGGACGTTTTTCGATTTGGGGGGGTGTGTACACACCCAACGCACCCCCCCCCCCCTGGATACGGGCCTGGTATATCCAGGGATGGGGCTCAACAATAGGTCTGAAGGTAAGATCAGTTCAGGGGTATCTTGAGCATGCGCTATCCAGATATTGCTGTGTTTAATTGGTGCCATATGCAGGAATTTTATATCCAGGGGTGGTGTATCCCGGGGTTGAATATCTAGGGATAGTGTATCCACGGGTGAAATATCAAGGGATGGTGTATCCAGGGGAGAAATATCCAGGGTTGGTGTATCCAGGGATGATGCCTAGGGTCTGTATTATATCTAGGGCATGGTATACCCTGGTTATAGTATTTTCCTTCCAAATTAAAAATGGTTTAGGTTTATCGCAATTTTATGCAAACGTATATCTTTCAATGATTCATCATAATGCAAATGATAACATTTTATTATAATTTAGATCACTGAGCTGTTAAATGACCTCATTTTAAGACACAGGAAAGTTACATGTTTGGAAGCGTAAAATGAAAGGTGAATGAGGCTGTCTTGGTATTATTTGACTATATAAATTATTGCTGTTTTAACCATTGAGAATGAAATAAAATAGGTAAATCGGAAATGAATCATATGAATTAAAGTAATTAGCATCTTTTCCCATAGCATTACTAGGTGAAAGCATCAAGTCCGGCGTGTGCTTCGTGGCAACGGTGCGACTAGAGAAGACACAATTAAGTCGTGAGATGGCTACCTTCACAGAAAAAGGAAATGAATTCACGTCCAGACATAGTCTTGATTGGAAATTTTTATTTCTAGATCATCGGTAAGTGATTACATATTTTTGATTTTTCAGGCCTTCTTAAAGCTTTCGCTTCTTTGACCGTTTTCTCGCCAATCTTTGGTTGCAGCAGGCAGAGGGTGTATCAAACTTGCAGAGTTAAGGTTTAGGTGTTTTTTCCCGTTTAACTGTCAAAACGCTATCTCCATAGGCAATGCATTCCACTCTGTCTCTTATACCCATCT